TCTAATCGATGGACCCCGAATGACCATTTGAACTTCAGTTTATTAGCTCTTAGGCTTAACAATCGAGTGAGGATTTGCTCGAACTCGAAGTGAAGGTAGCCCTTAGGCTTTATGGTCGAGTGAGGATTTGCTTGAACTCGAGATAAGGTAGCCCCTTGGCTTGATAGGTAGTCCCCGAGTGAGAATTTGCTTGAACTTGGGTTAAGCTAGTCCTTGGGCTTTTTAGTCGAGTGAGGACTTACTCGAACTTGAAGTGAAGGTAGCATTTAGGCTTTATGATCAAGTGAGGACTTGCTCGAACTCAAAGTAAAAGTAGCCCTTAGGCTTTATAGTCGAGTGAGGACTTGCTCTAACTCGAAATAAGGTGGCCCTTGGGCTTAATAGATAGTCCCCGAGTGAGAATTTGCTCGAACTCGGGTTAAAGTAGCCCTTGGGCTTAATAGATAGTCCCCGAGTGAGAATTTGCTCGAACTCGGGTTAAAGTAGCCCTTGGGCTTAATAGATAGTCCCCGAGTGAGAATTTGCTCGAACTCGGGTTAAGGTAGCCCTTGGGCTTTGTAGTCGAGTGAGGACTTGCTCGAACTCGAAGTAAAAGTAGCTCTTAGGCTTTATAGTCGAGTGAGGTTTGCTCGAACTCAAGATAAGTTAGCCTTTGGTATTTATAGTCGAGTGAGGACTTGCTCGAACTCGAGATAAGGTGGCCCTTGTGCTCGATAGATAGTCCTCGAGTGAGAATTTGCTTGAACTTGGGTTAAGATAGTCCTTGGGTTTTGTAGTCCAGTGATAATGATTTCTCAAACTCGAAGTAAAAAAAATAGCCCTAAGGCCTTCATATTTTTGCTTACTTTTGTGTCTTTTTCGAGGCCATTTTGTTATGGGTTTCGGACGTCTTCGAGCCGTGTTAAATTGGTCGTAGCCTTTTGGTTCGAGTGTATCCAAGTGAGCTTGCTTCCCTAAGTTATCCAGGCGTGCCTAAGATAACAGTCCCCGAGTGGGAATGGCCGCGATTTTTTAAAATTTAAGGGTTGCCTAAAAGGTCTTATGCCCTCGACGCCCAATAGTTCAATATGTTCGAGTTTTATTTTTCGGACGACAGTCCCTGAGTGTACGGGTGAATATCCGAACTCTGGTTATGATCATCCCTTAAGCTCGTTCCCATAATAGATTGAAAGCATGGAATTGTAAAGTAGAAAAACGTTTTCTAAGACATGAGATAATTGCAAGGAAAGTTACTTCTCTTTATTCTTGAGAAAAATGATTACACATGCGTACATGTTTTGAGCCAAGGCTCGAACAACCTATGTGGGTATGATTTTTTCGACCGTTTGGCCCTATCGATACCCCGTCATTATGAAGTAATTTCCTCGTGACAAAGTTGACATCCAAAGGCAATGCCCCTAGTATTCGAGGTTTATCGTAGGGAACCTCGGATATGTTAAATGCTATCTTTGACACCTATTCGTGGTCGGCCTTCGATTCTAAATTAGCACAAACCGTTGTTGCCTCATTAAAAACCTTGCAAAAAATCCAATTGGGACAAAAATTAGTCAAGGGAAAAAGAGTGCAACGCGTTCTTTAAGATCCAAAGCTTCATGCGGCTCCTTATCGATAACCTGCAAGTGTTAGTCAAAAAATAGAAAGAATTGAAATGGGATCGTACCTTCATTTGAACTTTGGATGTTTAATGTGACCTTCCTCAATACCAAGTCTCTCTGAACTTTGACCTCAACCATTTCTCCTCTCATACCATGTAGAATTTCGCCTAGACCCGTTGTTTCTACAGTTCCCCATTATACGATTGATATCGATCTCTTTTTGACCTCGGTTTTCGATATCTCTCTTGATTCTATCTACGGGTATGTTAGGATAAACAGACTAGAAAGATCCTCCAATTGATCATTCTCGACCCTGATCTTCGATTGATACCGATTGTGTACATCGGTCCAAGTGACAACTGGGTACTCGATCACATTTTGCTTCAACTGCTGGGAAGCTACTGAACTTCAAACGTTAAGACCTTGAGTGAAAGCTTTAACGACCCAATCGTTGGTGACCGGTGGCAAATCCATTCGTTCTATTTTAAATTGAGATATGAATTCCCTAAGCATCTCGTTGTCCATCTGCCTTCCCTTGAAAGGTCCGACTTTCTTGTTGCAACCTTAATGGTTCTAGCGTGCGCCTTTACAAAAGAATCTACAAGCATAACAAACGAATCAATAAAATTAGGCGATAAATTATGATACCATATCATGGCACCCTTCGATAGAGTCTCCCCGAATTTCTTCAGCAATACGGATTCAATTTCGTCGTCTTCCAAGTCATTTCCTTTGATGGCGCACACGTACAAACTTTTGGATACCAGAAGGGTGCACTTAGGGTGATGTGTTCATTTGGATCAGTCTTCCCGTTATACTTAGGAATCTCGGGCATACGTAACTTCTTGGGGATTGGCTTCAGAGCTGCACTTAAGGTGAAAGGTTTTTGTACAAACTTTTTGGAATTTGGACCTTTCAAAATTGGTGGAGCCCCTGGGATCTGGTCGACCCTAGAATTATAGGTTTCTACTTTCTTGTCGTTTTCCTCGATCTTCTTTTCCCCTGTCTCGATTCGCTTTGATAGTTCTTCGAGCATCTTAATGATATAAGGGTTGGTCTCCAATTCCTTCTCGCTCGGCCTCTTCGAAGCCAATTCGACCCTATGTATGATTTCTTAAGATGGCTTGGTTTCGACCCTGCTCGATGTATGATTCTGATTTTGGAGCTGAGCTATTGCTGCCTGTTGGGCTTGCAACATTTCGAAGATTACCTGCAGGCTGATTTCACCACCATGTGCATTCTGAGTAGCTGATCGGGTACCCCTACAAATGTTGCTTCGAGATCGCGCGACCAAATTTCCATTGATGGCTACATGCGAGCTGACGTTGATTGGATCTATAGCCGGAATGTTTCTTGGTGCAATGTTCTCATTCTCGTCGTGGTGGCTGAGATCATTGTCAATGTGTTGAGGTGCTGACTGAGAGTTTGACATCTTTTAATCCTATAATCAAAGACACTTCACAGAGCAAGCGTAAAATATTGTGTGTTACGAAAATTTGTACTAGGCAATTACTATTATCCTTAGCCCCACGGTGGGCACCAAACTGTTTACCCTAAAAATGGATAACAATTGAATTTATACTATGGTTTTAAGGACACGTGATTTACTTAGCACAAATTGAGAGAAAATGTAAATTGACAATGAAATTAACTGCAAATATAAATGAAGCAAACCAAATAAAATTTATAACTTTAATCCTTAAGCCAGACTGCCCTCGAATTAAGTGAATATTTCGCCGGAAAGTATGAACACAATAACAAGAATATTGAGAGCTTAAGAGAAAGTAAATATATAACTTTATGTAATGTGAATATCATGCCCTTTACAAATAGTTAGACCCCCTTTTGTATACCAGGGGAATCCTATTCTTGGTACAATCCTAAATACAGTAAAAAAATCCTATGATTGGCTAATTAATCAGCCTCTTCTTGATACATGCCGGGATTTACGCCGTGATCCTCGCCCGATTGCGTATTTCGTCTTTTCGTTATTCGACCCAGTAAGCTTTCCTCGATCTCTATCTTATTCGGTCCCGATCTTGGTCGATCTCCATCTCGATCGGTCTCGGTTTTGGTCGGTCTCGATCTTAATCGGTCTTAGGATCTCGAGCTTGGCAATCTAACTTCGTATTACGGTCCGGTATGACATGGGGTCGGATCTTGGCCTGTTAACCCCGGTCTCGATTAATCATAAAAAGATCGAGCCCTATTTTAACCGTATACAAAAATATTTTTCAAAATTTCTTTTCAATCTTCCCCACCCTATACCCCATCA